AGAGAGAGAGAGAGAGAGAGAGAGAGAGAGAGAGAGAGAGAGAGAGAGAGAGAAATACAGAGAAAGAGACTGGTCAAACATTGATCTGAAATGGCATAGGGTTTCCTGCTTGAGCAGGGGATTGGACTAGAAGACCTCCAAGGTCCCTTCCAACTCTGTTATTCTGAATAGATAGATAGATAGACAGACAGACAGACAGACAGACAGACAGACAGACAGACAGACAGACAGACAGACAGACATTGATTCTTTATATTGTATATGTTAATGTGAACTTCCTTAAATGTAAGTATTAGGTTTGCCAATATAAATCCAACTTCTAACATAAATCCAAATATGGCAGTTGGTTTCATAATTTTCATCCATTTGGGTTGTATTATTCAAGAAAACACACAAGAGTTATTATGGATATTATGGAAAGTTATTATGAATGTGCCAAGATGCTGTGGGTGTTCATTAGCATGTCTGCACAGTTAATATCTTAATGCTGCAAAAGAGGGAACATAGTGTAGATCAGGGTCTCCCAACATTGGCGACTTTAGAACATAGAACCATAGAGCTGGAAGGGACAGGAGTCCTTTTACCCTCCTGGTCAATTGGTTGTCCAGTCTACTTTTGAAAGCCTCCAGTGATGAAGCACCCACAACTCTGGGAGGCAAGCTATTCCACTGGCTGATGGTTCTCACTGTCAGGAAATGTCTCCTTACCTCTAAAGTTGGATCTCCCTTCAACGATCTTCCACCCATTACTGTGGACTTCTGCTCTCAGAATCGCCTTGTTGGGTTCTCATTCTGAAATTGGGGAAGGACATCTAGTCCTAGCCCTGTTTCTGAAGTACGTGGGGGAGAGAGGCCCACCACATTTCAATTCTGGGAAAAGGATGTTCTCGCTAAGTCATTTTCTGAAGGACCAAGGCGAGCTCCTGTTGATCTCTCTTTTCCTTCGGCAGCTGCGGCATCAGCAGTGGAGTCTGGTCATGGAGAGCGTTGTTCCCTCAGACCGAGGCAACTACACCTGTGTGGTCCAGAACAAATACGGTGTAATTAGGCATACTTACCAACTTGACGTTCTTGGTAAGTGTTGTTTTAAACTTGGTCTCCAAGAACCACGTGGTGCCCCTTGGCATTCGCAGAATGGACAGCTGTTCCCCATCTGTCCCAAACTACATCCTCTTGATGAAAGAAGGAATTCCTCTGGGTTGCTCCACTTCTGGAGCTGGAAGAACTGTTGGAAAGTAGATTTGCTGAATGCAATTAGTATGCTAATTTCTCTGCAGCCTCAAATTTCAGAATTTAGAGGAAGCAGGATTTTCCCGGTGGCCAGTAACAAAAAAGGACTAAACCATATCTCTATCTCAGAGGAAAAACAACCTAAAAATTAATGCACATATAATTTTAAAAACTGTACGTAGAGGTAGTGCCCAGTTAGCGTCCTGTTGTTCTGCAAACACCTTCTTTAAATTATTACTTCTATATAAAGAAGTGGTTTTTTTTTTAATTGCCTGGATAAAGAAAACTGGATGGGAATTATCTGTCCCATAAAAACTTTCTCAATATCTTAATGATTTTCCTTAAATATCAATGAGGAATTAACATAGGGCTTACTCTGACTATATGCATCAATCCAGATTCCATCTTCATTTTAACTATTTTTATTAGTCCGGATAAGCTGTTCATATCAATATAAATTTTATATTGTTTAGAGCGTTAAAGATACAAATAATACCGGGGACATATTCCAAGCATTTAAGAAGATTCATAATTTTTTTAAAAAATGTTGATTTCTTACATGTTTCCTCAGATACTCTAGATCTGGAAGCATATTAAGATATACTACAATTTATTGAATTGATCATTTATTGAGGGGCAGAGCAATACCCACAGATGTAAGGAAAGTCTGCATAGAATAGCCTTTTATTTTCCACTATATCCTAAATTTTCTTTGACTGTGAATTAAAACACTTCCAAGGCCCAATTTAATATGAGAAGAATATCCTTGTTGAATTGTATGAGATATCAAAATGGATGAAGATATAATAACAATGACAATAACAATATTGGAAGGGACCTTGGATAATAATAATAATAATAATAATAATAATAATAATAATAGTAGTAGTAGTAGTAGTAGTAGTAGTAGTAGTAGTAGTAGTAGTAGTAGTAGTAGTAGTAGCAAAGTTGGAAGGACCTTGGAGGTCATCTAGTCCAACCCCCTGCTTAGGCAGGAAACCCTATGAATCCAATGGTAGTCATTCCAGCCAATGAATTCAGAGGCTGCATTTTAATCCAAATGATAAAAACCAAACGTGTTTCAAAAGTTACATCCACCGGCTGCTTCGGAGGAGTTGGCTACATCCATTTTATTCTACTTCTAATAATCTATGATGGTAGCTGATGATAGTAAAGCTTGTTGCCCATTTAGGAAGCCAGACTGAGCAAGGCAACCCTGTATTTTGTGGTTTTTTCATGCCAGTTTTAATCCATCTTTTCATTTCCATGTTTAATAAAGGGATTGAGCAATGGCTTACGCATGCAAATGTTATATTGCACCTGGGTATTATGGTCACCTAGGCTCTTGCGAAAGTTAGCAGCGTTGTGGTGTGCTAACAAGGACCTTTTATTGGACAAATGTTGTGTGGAAGGGTTTATTCATTGCCCATAATAAGTAAGCGTCCTTTCCATTCTGCAGAGAGATCTCCCCACCGGCCTATCCTCCAGGCAGGATTGCCTGCCAATCAAACGGTGGTGATTGGGAGCAATGTGGAATTCCACTGCAAAGTGTACAGCGATGCTCAGCCTCACATCCAGTGGTTGAAACATGTGGAAGTCAACGGAAGCAAATACGGGCCAGATGGGACACCTTACGTCTCTGTTCTAAAGGTTGGTACACCGCTACATGAGTCTTTTTAAGTCTGGAACCTACTAGCATGAGCAGTTACTTACAGGAAGTCACTCATCACCACCACTATCAGATTAACCTTGAGATCTGCTGAAAATCTTGTTGGAAGAGCCAGGGTTTAACCCTGCAGAGGAACTGACCATATAACCCAGTCTGGGGGGGATAGGACCGCAAATTGGGAAAGCTTTGATGTCCATGGAGATTCTCCATCATCCAGGTCATGGTTGTCCCAAAGGTGCTTTTCCAAAAGGCAACTGGACTTTCTTGGGTTTTTCCTTGAAAATGGAAAGAACTGAGGAGGCTTCTTGGATGAGAAGGGGAAAGTTTCCAAGGAAAAAAAACTAGAAAGTCCAGTTGACTTTTGGAAAAGCACCTTGGAAAAGGCTTGATGTAAATCTGAGCTCCTATCACAAAACTATTTAGCATGCTTAATAGGCTTTACAATAGGGAAGATAATAACTCTGGATCACCACCCAGAATTAATGTAAGGATTATTTGCATAGGTGGGGGCAGCTGTTTCCCAGCACCTTAGCCTTCCCCAAAGGGTCTTCACCTTTCAAGATCAAATTTCACACAAGCAGCAAGACAAGATTGTTCTCCCAAAAAACCCTGATGTAGTTCCTTAGCAAAGCCATAGGATGCCTTGCTGACCTCCATAACTGTTCTGTGAAGGATATGTTCTCTGAACATAGACATTATAGATATTGGAAAATACAAAATCACCTTTATCTTCAAAAAAAAGGAGGAAAGGAAGATTCATAGACCATTGAATATAGATTGATTGGTATCAATATTCGGGAAGCTCCTGAACAGATCATAAAGTCATTGGTTCTGTGGGCACCTTTGAATTCCATCCTTACTCATTATCAAGAATAAATCTTGCAAGACTAAGTGTCGCTCATTCTTTCATCCACTAACAGCTTTACTAGATCATGGGAATGCAGCCGTTGCCTCTTGATTACAGCCTAAGAATTGACCAGTGACACTCTTAATTAGCAAATTAGGTTAAAATCAGAATGATGGGACAATTCAGTGGAAACCCAGCTGTGTTGACTCCATGCTCAAAGAATCTCATTGGTTACTTCTTCATCAAACCAGAATCAAATATCTGGGAGGGTTACTACTAGGCTGGTTCCTTGAGGTGGTGTTTTGATGGTAACCATCCTAGAGAAAGAAGTGGAGAAAATGCTTGCCAAATTTGTGCTCTGGAGGAAAGAATTAAAATTGAAAGAGTTATTGCACTGGGTTGGGCAGGGGTCTGCAACCTTGAGAATTTTAAGATTTGTGGATTTCATCTCCCAGAATTCCTCAGCCAGCTCCACAAGTCTTAAAGTTGTCAAGGTTGCAGACCCTTGGGATAGGGGAATAGGCAGAAAATAATAATATAATAATCAGAGACAAATAGAGAGGTCTTCTTTTTAGGAAATAGGTGTAGGATGAGGGGGGTACCTTTTTTGCAGCCATACCCTAACACTACTTGGTTTGTAAGAATCATTTTCAATAATTGCAAACTGAACATGTCCAGGTACAAGTACAGATTGCGCTCAATTTATGACTACAACGGGGCCAGAATTGTGGTTGTGAAGAGAGTTGCATCCGGTTTCATGACCTTTTTAGCCACAGTTGCTAAGCAAATCATAGCAGTTGTTAAGTGAATCACATGGTCATTAAATGAATTCGGCTTCCCCCCCTCCCCCATTAATTTTGCTTGCTGGAAGCCGGCTGGGAAAATCACAAACGGCTGGTCACGTGACCCCAGGATGCTGCAACCGTCGTAAGTACGTGCTGGTCGCCAAGCGTCCGAATTTTGATCACGTGACCCCGGGGATGCTACAATGGTTGTAAGTGCAAGGACAGGTTGTAAGTCCCTTTTTTCAGTGCTGATACAACTTCAAACTAACGGTTTTAAGTCTGGGATTACCTACCTATGATAGGGCAGCAAAAAAAGGGAAATGCGATCTTCAGGTGTACAATAGAAGTATTTTTTTT